CGAATTGGCATTAAACCAAAAGAATAATTGCTTTGGTGTTTGCCACTAGCAAAGGAGGTATGAGCTGCAAGCACTTTCAGTGCAGCAGTCAATCAGTGTCCCATCACCCCACCACTAAGGTTAGAGACGCCCGGAAATCTATTGTTTAGTAAAGTTTCAAGAGATTCGTCGTGATCAGTGTCTCGGTTTAGGATGTATAGACGAAGTATGGTTACTATACCAGTTGACTCTCACCAAGAATCGCCCTTCTTCAATCCTTAGGTTCACAATTCTTTTGTGCACAATTTACTTCGCTGTAGTGATTGAATAGTTTTCTGCAATACTTTCCTTGCCTCGACTACTTTAGTGACAATACAATAATAGTATAGCAGGGGAAGTTTTAATATCAATACTATTTTAGTACTAGTTTATTGTACAGCTTTACATTGGTTATCTTGATTGTTTGGGCTTTTTCCGCCGTAGATTCTTTTCGTGCGTCCGCATGAGCAATGCAGGCCATTGTAAGCGCATGAAGGTCGTTTTCACAAAAGGATGTGTCTATATGTGGTTGTTAGTTGGATGCGCTAGTTATCGCAGTATGCGTGGACAGTTTTTTCACGGCACAGACCGGTGTACTTTGCATTTCAACGAGCGCTCGCTCGCTTGCGTGCCATAATAATAGGCTCAATTGCATAGAGAGAGAAGGGAGAAGAGAGGCTCAGCGATCGATGGCCTACCCGCATTCTGCTGAGCACCGCAGGATATGTTTGTCTTGATTCGAAACGCAGCCAATTAGGGACAATTCGGCAAGTTTTCTCTTTGCCACTCCGGTCTTAGATGGCTTCTTTAGCGCCAAGTGCGCTGGATCGAGCAGCGGCGGTGACTTTTCGAGAAGCGTTGTCCATTTGATTGAAAAGAAACTACTCAACATGTCACTAACAGTGAAAGGGTGTATACGTGAACCTGATTTGAAATGACTGGGGAGGCAGCATATCAAAATGAATATGCTTGCGAACAGCAGAAGGAATCATGCTCTAAACTTGATGTGTAACCTTAGTGGAAGGATAATCAGTGAAGTGACAATGTTTACCGGTAAAAGCCTCAAAAGCTAATTCCAAAACTGTCTATCATCTGTATCTGCCAAATATTTCTTTGGAGAGGAGATATTTTCCTCTGTCAAAAATGGCTTACGGGAATTTAAATAATGCGCCAACGTTCAACTTTGGACGAAACAGCGACGCACAAATTGGATATCGTTGTGACAGTTTTGGTTATCTGAAATCAGCGTTATAAACAGCATATATTACTTTGTAACTTTTTTTGATCCTGCATTGATTCGAATATCCTTTCGTAGAAGTTCTTGTTCTGTTATCATCAGGTTACAAGGTTATAACCCTGCTCTGTGCTGATAATAGTCAAGTTAAAGAACTTATACCTTATCTTTCAAAGAATCCCTTATTTCTTCTTGTATAGAAAGTGAGATAGATATATTTGATGAATTGCCTAAATGTGTTCTACATGTAACAAACAGCAAATTGGCGAAGAAAGGCTGCCTCAAGTGCTTGAAGAGCCTTCTTCTGCAAGCTACTACTTTTCAAATCGAAACGTCTTCATGCAGTAGTTGTTCATGCATAAGCACTAGTGTCATCCTAGAAATGGTAGGACATGGAAAAGCTG